GCCTGACCACCACCAGAGGCGCTGTGTTGGGCTAGATTCTCCTACTATAGGATAGGAACTTCCATTGATTTCAGTGGGACTTACTCATATCTTGCAAGGAGGAAAAACAAGGCCTTGTAATTTGGAAGGAAACAAAATGCCAGTGGCGTGTGTGGTGGATAAAGTAGATGTGGAGAAGCTAGTCATGCCCTTCCCTTCTGTGCTGGGGTTGCACGTTATCTGACCTGTAGAAGAGTTCATATAGTCTGTACAGCTAATAATTTTGAGAGAAGAGAAATAGTATATTCAAAGGCATATTCTCCATCTGTCCTGTGTGTATAACTCTGGTTGATGTTCATGGGTGTCCTACATTCTCATCAAGAAGAGAAAGTACTCCTTTCCAGGTCTCCAAACATATTTAAATGCCCTTCCTGAGGGAAAGCTTTGTCTAAATTGCAACAAACCTAGCTGAAATTGATCATCTTCGCATTTGAATAAAGCAAAGAAACAAAACCTAGCAGCATGGCGGCTGTTCCAACTTGCTCAGTGTGTTTTCTTTTGCAGTTCAGGATCATAACCCAAGATTAAAATAAAGTGTGTGAAACCTTTTTCTGTGTTCATGTTAAAGAAAGAAAAACTCCATTGACAGCTGCTGAGAGAATGCTAAAGATAACAATTATCTAGTGGAAATATTAGATTTCTTCTACATTGTCTGTTACATACAATTGTTTAATAGGACTCTTATTGAAAAGCTGCAAAGCTTTAGGCCGAAATCAATGAGATGAAAGCTCTGAATTTTGATGTATGCTGTTGACTTCCACAACACAGAGCAATTTGTAATGGCTTTGCTTTACTGTTGTTTTCAAAGCTCCTACTACATCACAAGCATTTATTTCTGACCACAAAATTACATTTATTCAACAGAAAGCAGCTCAGGGTCTTTAAGAGGTTAACTTCTGGAGTGCTTGGCTGCTCTCCAGCCTCTGTACTAGCATCAGTGCTAATGCAACAGCACACAACAGCACCCAGGCTAGCCATGATTAATAGACTGCTGAATACGCTGCTTTCCACATACACACACTTTTCATTCCCCTGCTTCCATAGATCATGGACTTATCCTCAAAATATCTGACTGAAATTGAATTTGGCTTCTCTCTCAACCGTTCATTTCCTATGTTATGCAAGGTTATATCCTTTTCTGCATGAGCAGAACCAAACCAGCTGCAGCTTTTGAGAAAAAAAAATGTGTTTTCAATTATGAAGTTGGCCTGAACATTGAACCATAGTTCTACTGCTATTCTAATTGAGCCATCATGGAGTAAACTTACAGGAAAGAAGTCATATTAATCAGGTTTGTGAATTTAACAAAAGGAAATTTAAAAAAGAAGAAAAGATTGAGATTAGCATTAACCTATAAAATGCAGACACACAAGAACATATGACTGAAGTTTCTTAGGCCATTCTGTTTACAAACTCATTAAAGCACCCTTTCACTGATATGATTAGTAGCTTCAGTACGCTCGTCTGATCATATTTTCAACTCTGGTGTTTGCATAGACACAATTACTAAATAGTCTACTGACCAAATCAATAGCTTAGAGAGCAATTTAGCTAAGTACTGAGCCAGAGTGCTCTCATCAGAATGGTAATACACCTAAAACTCATTGCCTTCTAAAAAGAAAATTAGAAATGGCAGTCAGAGAAGATCAGTCTACTCTTTCAGAATATTTGCCTTAAAGGATGCTCCAAATTAGGGATTACTCTGTTCCTGTTGGACAGTCCTGCTATGCCACATGAAAAGAATGCTAATAACCCCAGGAAATCCTTTTCTAGCCTTAATATCTACTTTATGACATCACAAATATGTATCTGGACATTAAATTTCCACAAAGCAAATTTATTTCTATAACAGAAAGCATAGCCTAAGAACATAAAGCTTTATATTTAGGATTTCATGTGCAAGTGCTCATCTGCTTATATAAACCTAACCCATTTTGCAACCTATTATGTACTATGCTCAGACAATATTTATTCAGATGATAACTAAGGGCATTTCCTTTCTCACTTAGGAAAAAATGTAATCAGACAAAATATTCAGGCTATTATTTATTCATTTTGGCCTTTGTTTAGCCCAAGATACCGCGATTGAAAAGTTAACTAGAAGCATATTCAATGTATTAATTGTAAACAAACAAAAAACTGATTGAAAAGAGTTTATGTTGAAAGTAGAGTTCAGCAGAGTCCCGCCAACACACCTATAAAATGATGTTCTTTACAAAATTTCACTCAGAAACTCAGAATAGGTCCCATTCTCCTATAATTCTTTACCTTATTTACATCATCTCCTAAGCTTAAGTGTCCACCCCTAAAATTTCCAAAATCATACACAAATCAAATCTCTTACTTCCCAGTTGTGAAACACAAAGCTTTACTTATAAGAGAAATGCACATACAATCTTAACTATGGAATGAATATCATACAATATTAATATATTCCAAATAGATTGTTATTTCCCAATTAACAGTGTAAAAATGTTTGGTAATATTTTTGCACTTTTGTTTGATGTATTGCTTTTCCATCCATGCTACTGTATTTGTGAAGTTACTGTTACTGTAATGTTGGGACTCAATATGACCTACGCTAGGCTTACAAAACAAGTGTCTGATAAAATCACCAGTATACTGTGCATTTCAGAACCTTTAGAATTTCACTTTTTCCTTTAGCTAGCTTTCCCCTACATGCACCCTGCTCTGACAGGTTTTCTTACTGCATTTTAAAACTTGCAGTATCCTACATTCTATTTCAGAATGTTCTTACTTTCCTACTTAAAGTTCCAAGAAAACAGCTCTTTCCAGCAGCTAATGGAAACTGGATATTTGGTAACTGAAACAGTTTCCATCTGCAATTTCCCCTGATTGAGATAAACATCTATAGACTACAAAACATTCTGGCTGTATTTTTTGCTTTATAAATATCCACTGATATTATGTAATGAAATACAAAGAAAACAATTTGAGAGCTCAAACTAAAAGCAAAAAAAAAAAAAAAAATACTAACGAAGAAAACCAATGACTAGGTCTAAAGAAATTAGCTAACAGCAAGCGTATGTGCTGAATGCTCCACACATCATGCACAGGGAGGACAAGGAAAACGTAAGTGATTTTAAATTCATGTCCCCTCCAAGCCACATCTAGTCCAATGATGTCATATGTTCCCAGATTACCTCCCAGCATGATCTAGGCTCATGTCACATCCACCATGGAGCTCAACTGGAGCAGAGAGCCATGCTACAGCAGATCCAGTAAATGCTTATACGCAGGGCCCTACCAAATTAATGGTCTATTCTGGTCAATTTCACAGTCAGGAGATTTTAAAAGTTTTAAATTTCATGATCTCAACTACTTAAATTTGAAATGTCAGAGTGTTGTAATTGTAGGGGCCTGACTCAAAAAGAAGTTGGGAGGGTGAAGAGTTTTGCATGGTTATTGTGGGGTGCTGCAGTACTGATACTCGTACATCTATGCTGCTACTGGCTGCATCACTGCTTTCAGAGCTATGGAGTTGGAGAGCAGCAGCTGCTGGCTGGGGGCACAGCTCTGAAGGCAGATCCACTGCCAGCAGCAGCACAGAAGTAAGGATGACGTGGTACGTTATTGCCACCCTTGCTGCTGCCTGCACAGCTGCATCCTCAGACAGCAGCTGACACCCTCCAGCAACACAGCTCTGAATCCAGTAGTGATTTCTCTAAAACAGATATGACATATTGGGGGAAAACCGGCACTCTGGTCCTGCAAGACCACAGATGCTCCTGGACCAGAGAGCCCAGGAACCTAACAGCAGAAGGGCCAGCCAAGGCTGGGGAGACCAGGATTGGCAGCCTGGCCAGGGGCCAGCAGCCCCCATGGCAATGTGATGCTCGGGCCAAAGCCCCATGGAAGGGGTCTTCGTGGAAGCAAGGAGCTATAGCCAGAGCCTGCAGCAGCCCAGCCAGGCCAGGGAGTCAGTGGCAGCTGGGCGAGTAGCCCAGGTGGGCTAGCAGAGGGCAGGGAGAGGCCAAGGCAGGGTGCCGGCTGAGGTGGTAGCAAGCCAGCTGTGCTCATACAATGTAGGATTTGGGGGCCAGTGGCAGAGGACCTTCCCTGGTCCACAAAATTCTCCCTTTCGAGGTCAGTCAGGCCCCAAGAGTGCTGGACAAGGGAGGTCCAACCTGTAGAGCAATTGTAATGTGTCAGTTCCCACTGTCAAACTGGCTTACACGTGCCATTCTTTTTCTCACATGTTACTATTATATAAGGAACTTCATCTGATAACTTTTTATAATTATGTTCAGAAAATTAAGTAGTTTAAAAAAAGCATCCAGTTTCCAAGCAAAGAAATTATTGCTAGTTTGAGGTACATATTCAGCACAATGCACAAAGAATTAGGAACATAACCCTCATTAAAAATAATGAATGTACACTTAATTCCCTGTGTGCTGCTGAAAGTATACACTTAAATTTCTCCATGCTGTGACTGGACCTGCAACAGTAAAACAATCAGCTTACAGCTGATAACACATTTAGGAAGTGTAACTCACGCCTGCTGGGTTGGGGCTCTGTCCCTCATTAGTGGCAGCTAGGCCACCTAGATGTTAATAAGTGTGCTACAGCCACATGGCTGTAGATGTTCACACAGTAATGGTGGGTGCTGTTGGATGGGGGGAGGATTTCAGTTTTTAAGTTGCCGGATATACTGGTGGTAAGCTCTTTCCCCACTGTACTGCAGCACTTAGGGCATTTGTAATGTTTTTATGTTATGTCAAGGACTCCTAAAACACATGAACAGGTACATTATTAAGCATCTGTATAAACTAACATATATTCCTTTTTCGTATGCATATGGACCCTGCTCCTGCGAACTGCTCCATGCCATTGGCAAAGCCCTTTGTCCACACATCTCCATTGAATGGCTATAGCACACCAGAATGACACAAACTTAGGCAAGCAGAAGTGACAAGCTACACAAATGCATAGTTTCTTACCTCCCCCTGGAAACTCTTCAATAATGGAGCTACCTGTTTGCGCAGGTCCTGAAAGAGAAAAACGAAAGGATTCCTTCAGGAAAGAGCCATTTTTAAAAAAGAAAGCATACAAGGAATCATTTTGATCAGAATAAACATTATTAAATATTTAAAATGGACCAGCACGTAGTCATGTTTTTAGGAATGTCTTTTTCGTCTAGTTTTTTTAATACTGATTTTGGAAGCCTGACTGCAGTTTATGACAACTTTTGTTTAATCAATGGTATAGCTAGAATTCATTCCGATCAGACTCATGTTTACAATTTAACAATTTCCAGGTTAGTACGCACTTCTGATTGTTAAAATGACAATAACTGGCTAAAGGCTGTGTTCATGGTGATCAGGCAGTGAACTCTTTCAGTCTGTTCAAAGAGTGATGTGAATACCATTTCTGCATCCACCTGAAAAGCTTTCCAGCTACAGACCTGAATTTACAGTCAAAGTTCCTTTTGACATATGAATTTGCATTAATGGGAGTTACACTCAAAGAGAGGAAAGGCACCAGGGACACCACCTGGGGCAGTTTAGCATCACCACTATTGGAGATGGCAGCAGTTTTGAAAGAGGGCACCTTTTTACAGGGCTCATTAAAAACAAGGAGAAATAGTCATTTTGAAAGTTGGAATTCTTTATGGTTCTTCCAGAGATAATTCATTAGCCCCTGCTAAAGAAGAGTTCAGTTATGAAGCATGATGAGATCAAACGAGCATTAGTCCTTAAAAACCATTTTAAAAGGCTTCAGGTGTAACCTACACATACTACATGATAAGACTGGAGAGTCTTACTTCACTATCTGGATCATTTGGGACAAAAAAACCAAAAACACGCAGTACGGTGATCTAAGACTAAATGTTTTAGACCTTCTTTTAATCCAACTAGTTTTAACTCTAGCAGATGCACTTAGAAGTTCTCAGAACATTCATTCTATGCCAAAAAGCATTTTATAGATTCTTCATGCAAAACTAAGTGGCTGAATCCCTCTTTGAAGTGCAAACCATCTATTCTATGGAACCATATGCAGTATTTGTATAGTCTGCATAGCTATAAATATATCTACAATATAGAGACTACACACAACAAATGCAATACCTCATTCAGGTTTTTATTAGCATGACTTATGGACTGACCAGTGGCAAAGCCATGAGGTCCACAAGTCATTCCAAACAACAGTCAGTAAAACTTTATACCAATCAGGCAGTGTATGTCTTCATACAATCAGGCAGTGTATGTCTTAAAACAAAAATGTTTTTCAACCTTTCTAAAAATTGACACTAATTTTTTATCCTTTTATCTATAAAATCAGAGTCATCTAGTTATAATAGTATCAAATCCACAAAAGTCTTCCAACATTACCTTTTTAAAATAAATTTAAATATGACAATTTCAAGGGTCAATATCTTAGAGACTTTAGAAAGCTGGTTAGTCTACGAAAGCCAATTTTTTTTTTCTTTCCAGCACTAAAAAGTCTTTTCTTTTAAACCTTGCTCCGCAAAATAGAAGATCTGAAATCTATCATTGGTCCAAAACTGAATCTTGTCTATCTTGAGTCTTACATCAAATGTAATTTCATGGAGGAAAATGGAAACATTTATTTGGCAATTTTTTTTTAAATGGCAGTTGTTTGAAGCCATTTAATAATCCATATCTTTTAAACTGTTTCAGAGGGTTAATATATCACAACTGGGATAAATTAGCAACCAGAATCCAGAGGAAGGTGTCAAAGATTAGTTGAAGAACCATGTTTTAAGTATAATTTATCAAATAGCCTTTCAATTTCATTGCCTGGCTTTGCACTGTATCATATGGCTATTCCCTTATAGTACACATCCATATCCTAAGAATATCATGGTAGCCATATAAAACTCTCTTTGGCACCTAACTGCATTCCCTTGCTCCTGCACCCTCTGTGCTGGGCAGACACCTTACCCCCTGTCTGCTCCTGCACCCTTCCCTTGCTCTTGCACCCTCCCGCCTGGCCAGACACCCTACCCTGACCCTACTCCTGAACTCACCCTTGCTCCTGCACCCTCCCTCCTGGCCACACACTGCCCCTTCCCTTGCCGCTTCTCCCCTCGCCAACTGATTTTTCCCACCCCAGCCATAAATAAAGAAAACATGGGAATCTTGTATGTTGGACATAAATTATTTTACTTCATTCAAAATGAAATTTGATAAAGTAACATGAGAAAGTTAACATCCTTAATCTGTTTAATAATTTATATTTCCTATCCAGCTGGTTAAATTAAACCAGTTCTCCCTAGCTTCAGCACTAGCAAAATGGCTTGGGCATAATTAATGGCGAGTTTCCATTAGCAATTGGTGGTCCACAGAAAGGTTTGCATTGAGCCAGGTGGGCCATGAGCCAAAAAGTTTGAGAACCACTGTTTTAGAACAGAGAAACTTAAGTGCATAAAGAGAAGAATCCCACCCAAGTGTCACTTGATACCTTCATACCTGCTGATATTTTCCCTCTCATCTGTTTTGTTATCTATTCTGCAGTGGTACAACAGTAAATTCTCTTTGTGTGGCATCAACTTGTGTAAGTTTTATGATTTTTCTCCCTCAGTGACCTTTGCTTAGTCAATATCAGGGTTTTAGCTCAGTTGCATTTTCCAATTTTTAGCTGCCACACAGATAAAACTGGTGACAGCACTGCATACTGAAGTACAGGACATCTGGGTTCAGCAATTATCCTAAATCACTTACAGGCAGTCCCCGGGTTACGTACAAGATAGGGACTGTAGGTTTGTTCTTAAGTTGAATTTGTATGTAAGTCGGAACTGGTACATATTGTAGGGGAAACTCTAGCCAAACATTTCTCCAGAGCTCAGTTTTATTCTTCCACACCTCACTTCCCTCAGTCCTTTATTCTCAAGCTGAGGTGTCTGCTGAGAAAAGCTGCTCCACGTCTCCCTGGTCTGCTGGGGGGGGGCGCTAGCTTCGTGTCTCCCTGGTCTGCTAGGGGGAAAAGCAGCTAGTGCGGGGTTGCCTCACCCCGTTTGTAAGTAGGGATCCGATGTAAGTCGGATCCATGTAACCCGGGGACTGCCTGTATTTGCAGAATGCTGAAAGCCAGGCGCAGTGCAAAGTTTTTTTGCTTAAAGCTTCGGCTATAAAGGTTAAGATGAATGGATCTGAAAATAATGGAGTTTCATGATGTTAAAGTGAGATCGATCACAGCCAGGTCCACACACAGTGTAACCAAAAGTTGCTTTTTGCCAGACGTGTCTTAGCCAAACTGATACTAAAGCAGGTCCTTTTAGAGCTACCACCCTAACATCAACCTTTCCTGCATTCCTTTCCATTCACCTGGTGGGCCTCAGAAAAGAGCCTTCTACTGAATTGTACTCTCTGGCGCATACTGTACTGTGCAAAGATGGGATATGTAGTGCCCTGATTTGATTGTGCAAACTATGTAGGGATCCAGCCTACAGAGACATTGGTGGCTCCATATTAAACATTAATAGGAAGAAGGACATTGTTTTCATAAGGGTGAAAGAAAATCAGGGAGAAGGTGATGGCTAGCATTGAAAGGAAGAGAAAGGAAAGGTCAACAAATTTGATCCTCATTTCCCCCATTCTATGCATCATGTAGACAACATAAAATATCCTGGATTTGTATTTCAAAAATCTCGTACTGCTGTTTGCAACATGTTATGTGGTTCTTATTAGTTAACAGTAAAAGTCTGAATGATTACATCACAAGATAAAACCAGCAGACATTTAAAATGGGTCAGAATTTAAAATATCAAAGCAGTGATAAATACTTCAGGCCACCAAAGTTTCTATTTTAAGAAAGAAAAACAATACCCCTCTCAAAGTATAACATAAGGTCCAAATGAAACCCTGATGTAACTCAAATAGCATCAGTAAATTTGTGCTTCTTACACTAATTCTGAATTTGGCCCTTAGGTCATTTGGAAAATGACCTGTGAAATATTTTCTGTAATGGTTTAAAATTCCAGTTAAACAACAGATTGACTATAGGCTTAGAAACTGCAAATATATTTACCACTTGAAACATGGGTCTCCATTCACCAACCTCCCACATTCCAATTTCAGATTTCCAAATGTATCCTCCAAGTAAACAAAATATCAATAACCAAGATTACATGATATGATAGTAAAAATATTTGAGCCATATTATTCTACAGTTTCCACAATTAATAAAACCATGCTTACAAGATTTCGTAATGTAGATGCATCCTATGAATGTAAACAATATGCCCTTATGGGTTCTAAAGTTCAAAATAAATGATACAATCCTAATACAGAAGATGCTATTGCATTGGGGATCGAATGTGCGCAGTCTCTGGTCTTCCTGGAGTGGTGGTCTCTTATTACAGGCAATAAAGTATACACAAGACTTTGATACCTTGGAAGAGTAGCTACAGTTAATAGAGGTATTAATACCTTAACACCTTTCATATTATCTCCTTTAATGTACCAAACTTTGAGAATAACCAAAAAAAATACTGGAGCAGAATGTAAGTGCACATTTTGAGAGGAATGGTAAGTGCACTGAATAACATTGTAAAAAGAAGAAATGGACTATCCATCATCACTCACCAGTTATTTCTGCAAATTGTTTGAGTTTGGTCTAGTAATCTCATAAGCACTTACCAGGCTAACTGGCATTAAAGCTTCAGACATCTCACAAAAGAGGGAAGTAAAAAATAAAACCACAAAAGTAGTAAAAAACTACATCTGCCCCCAAGACAATAGATAAATCACTCCAGCTAGATTTATTTTTGGCAGTTTGAGAAATTACTTACCAGACTATAGTTCCAAATATTATATTAATGGAAAGATACAATTCTACCTTCTTTGCCCTAAACTGGACAAAAATAAGGATGCTCAATTCTGACTCATGGGAATCTATAATGTCAGTTAGTAAGAACTATATATGATTTATTTTCCTTTTACATATATAGTGGCCTTCACTGTCAGGGCAGTGATCAAAATAGGAAATGCAACCAGATTCAGCCCTCACACACAGCTCTGTAGCA